AGGGCCTCGAGTGCGTCTGCGGCCGCAGCCTCCGCCAGCTGCACGCTGAGGCTACCCGTCGCGACGCCAGCGGCGCTAGTCAGCTGCGAGTCCTCAAGGCGAGGCCGCTGCGCCGTCCTGGCGCCTGTGGCGGTCGCGGGTGACCGACCTTTGCCGTAGCCGGGTTGGCGAACGCAAGCGGAGGCGGTCTGCCCAGCCTTGGAGGCGGCGGCTGCGGCGGGCTGCCGCGCCTTTTGGACGGTAGACGCGCGAGAGGCCTTTTGAACGGCTTCAGCTCGCTGACTGCGCGCCTGCTTTTGGCACACCACCCACTCGCCGCCGACAGCCTCGTAGTGTGGTGCTTCCGATCGTGACGAGGGCTCAGACGGACCGCGCGAGCCGGCTGCACCAGAGACCTCCTTTGGAGGACGATGAGCGCCTTGCATGACGCCCTTGGCCTTGCGGCCGTGTGCAGGCTTCTTCTTCGGCGCCATTGCGACCTGCTTTGAAGGCGCCTCAAAGCTAGCTCCGGCAGCACGATCGGTGCGGGTTCGTCGCGTGTCTTTTCCTGCGGCCCACTGTGAAATCGGGACCTGAGCTCTCGTTTTAACACAGCCCGTAAGGTGCCCCGCCGGGGTGCCGGTTCGTTTTCCGCCCACGATCATGACCTCGGAGAACGCATTAGCCGCTACAGCGGAAGCTGTGATTTCGGCTTCCTCGGCAATTTCGATGTAGCGGCTAATGCGTTTCGCGACATAATCGCAAAAACTCGAGCCAGAGCTATGGGCGCCGAGTTCGCCACCCAATTTGTGTTAAAACGGAAGCAGGGCTTTTGGTTCGTTAACTGTAGACCACACGGACGCGCGGCCGGCGGCTGAGAAGGCCACGCAGCCCCTCTTCCTGGTCACTGACGGGAGCACTGGTCGGCGTGAAGACCCCAAGATGGCGCTGTTCGCGCCTCCCGTCCACCACCACCGATCAGGTGGCCGGCCTGGGTGCCCCCCCGGCGGGTGGGAAAGGGCGCAAAGCTCCGTTTCATTGCCTACCCCTGTAGTTTTGACATAGTGCCAAAGATGGTCCACGCATTCCAGGATGCGTCGACCATCCTGGAATGCGAACTGCATTCGTGAATGCGCTAGCATCTGGAGTTACCCCTTTGCATTCTAGGATGCTCCTTGCTATTTCAAGTTGCCTTCCTTAACCTGAGATGCCCAGCATTTTGGCCAATGCCGCATGTCGGCGGGGCATCGGGTAGGCTGCGGCTCGGCCTGCGCCTCGGCAGTCGTTGCCGCTGCGCAGCTGGATATGGTGGCGCACGTGGCGTGGCCTGTCGTTTGCATGTTTTGCGGTGGCAGCCCATAACCGCACGAATTGTGCATGGCCCTCAGCAATCCGTGTTCGATCGGCAACGCCCGTGCCGCTGCTCTGTGTCTCGTTAGAATAGGCAATGAAAAACGGCGCCCGCTCTCGTCGCATGTGCGCCGGTTGACATATCATGTATGTGGCTCTTTTATGGATAACAAGGAGTCTCGTTTTCAACTTTTTCTTCTTGTATATGAGCCCGCAGCCCGCGGCTTCCTCGCGCGTTTCGCGCTCCTTAACGGTCTCTCTCTCGCCAGCCCTCAACTGTTCAGTAGAATTTGCTGCAACTGGGCAGATTCATGTGGTATCATGCTGTCCTCATCAGGTGTCTGTGCCGCAGCGTAGGCGAGACTCTAATCTCTATGCCTCGGCACCCCATCGAGGCAGCTCGCGAGGTGAAGCTTGCCAGCAAGGGTATTGTTGCCTACACCAGCAGGCAAGGGAGCACTATGGTGTGAGCCTGCCAGCACTGGTGCGCAAGCCAGATCAGTACAGTCGTACCGGGCAGCAATGAAGCGCGTTAGGTGCCCGCGGCCGCGCCGGATGCAGTGCTAACGCGGCAAGCTTGGGCCGCATCAGCAGATGCGTGAGGCGGTGCGGAAACCGTTGTTTCAAGGCCACCTGGTAGGCTCACTCCTTCCCATCCCAGAGGTAGAGGGCAAGGAAGGTAGTCGATACCCTCGCCACAGATGGACATTTTCATTCAGTGTTATGTGCTACTTTCAGATACGTAGGAGGACTCTGCTGACGGGGTATTTTAAAGCCCAAGATAGAAAGAAGCAGGATTGTAACGCCCTCCCCACGCACATTGTTTTCCGCACTTTCCGCATATTCCGCAACGGAATGTAAACGGCAATTTGGGCAATTGTCGGAGTCTCCCATTCTGTAGCGTCAAAGCGCAGCTGCCTCGTGGCTCGTGGCGCATGGTGCATCCTGCCCGCTCCCCCGCAGCTACGCTGCTGGTGATTGATGTCGCACGCGCATGCCCACCCTCACGGCACCCACGCCATACCCGCGCGCTGACAACACATACCTGACATGCGCACTGCACCGACATCCAGCCAGGCTCCCGCGTCGACGTTGACGCTAACGAAGAGAGGCGCGTTGAGCCGGCGCAAGGAGCACGTCTCACTCACACCACCACTGACGGCCTCCCACTTCTCGGCCGCAGCTTTTCACAACGTGGTACCTTCGGCTCACCTCGTCGCTAGCATCATCAGCGAGTACACCCTGCCTCTCGCCGTTTGCCCTGGCGAACGTGGCCGTGCTGATTGTCTACCGCCGCGTGGCTGTGCGAGATCTAGACGTGCACACCCCGCACGCCACTCGGCTGTGCTTGCGCAGCAGACGGCGTGGGCGGCTGCGCAGGCCCCTGGCCGCGGAGGAGGAGGCTGGCCCGTCTGGCGGTGTGCTGGCGGTTGGAAGTAAGAGGGAGAGGGAGAGGGAGAGGGAGAGAGAGAGAGAGAGAGAGGGAGAGAGGGAGAGGGAGAGGGAGAGGGAGAG